AAACAAAATAGTCTAAAGCATTACTTTGAATCAGTTAATATGGTGGCACTTTTACATCTGAGTTTGCATTTAATAAAATCAGATTCTTTACTGAAAAGGGCGAAATATTTGTCTTATTTTTGTATAAAACTTTGGGGAAAAAAAGAAATGGGAATTCTTACACTGTGAGAAGAATGTTTCACAATTTTTTATCATATGATAAAAAGTCAAGGTCTTTTGGACTCTTAATTAAAGAATTATCTTAAGGAGCTTTTTTTCTTCTTAAGCTATCAACAGATATTTATGATTTCATTTAAGTTATTCTCCAAGTACTGGTTTGGTGGTAAAAGCTACGTTAATATGTCTGCTTTCACAGATATACACATTTGAAAACAGATGATCTAAAAGAAGGTGGTATTCCTTCAGGCAGGCTGTTTGCATTTATCAACATCACTCCAATACTTCCAGTGTGTTTTAACACTTCCTCAGGTGCCAGTTGCAGTTTGCCATTTATACTGAGGAACAGAAGGTGTAAAATGGTGAAAGCAGAAGACAACAGCATTCCCTGGCATCTGACGCTCTTAACAGGGACATTTTTCAGCATTCTGTATTCATTTTGAATAATCGTTTGGAAAAGGGATAGAGAAAAAAAAAAAGTGAGGTTACTTTGGTTTGACTTTCAATTAATCACAGCATGAACTGAAAGTTTTACCTTCTGGATCATGTTCTCTCTTCCCAGCCCTTTGGATTCACTGAATGCCCTGCCTGGGAATTGAACAGATCAGTTGCTACCTCATGCTGTTGTATATGTACACATGTATGTGTACATGTATGTATATTACCAACATATATGTACATATGCATAAATAACTTCCCGATTTACTGAAGAACATATCTCTCTTTTTCTCAAAACAATGAATAAACACAAAATTATACCCTGTATTGTGTAACCTTTTGTATTACATCCATCATTTAGTATATACCACACTTTGTGCCCTAAATAGTGCCTGAGAGTCTCTCTTTCTTCTTAGCTGATCTAAGAGGAAGATGGGAATAACATTTATACATTTTTGCTATTATTTTGTCTGTACAGGATGATTACAAAATTGTGCTTTTCCAGGAAATTTGGGAAAGAATAACACTCACATTTTCATTCAAGTAACACTTTAAAAGTGACACATCTTATTCACGAATGGGCAACTAATAGTCACGTACTAGACAGAAAATGGAGTTCAGTCAGAGGTTTAGGGCCATACAGTCTATCTGCTATAAAAGAACAATCTTTCTGGCTTGGGCCAGATGCTAGTAGTCTAGCTTTTTTTGTAATAGTCTTCCACTCATTAAGAAAATATCTAATTAGGCCCAAGACTTAATGTAATGGTTTCTCAAATGTTTTCAATGAAAAAAAAAATAATCCAGCAAAGCAAATATCTAAAGTAGCACTTAAAAATAAATTAAACTTTATTTTCCACTCTCTCATGCTTTTCAAATACTTATTATCCAGATAAATGTGTTCTTAGCTTTTACTGGAGGTATACTACAGAGTTTCAACTTCTTGCAACGATATAACAATGTTCCAGGGGTCTGCCAACATAATAAGCTGATTGATTTGAAGATTTCTATTTTTAAAGTTCCACTGCATTCCCATTAGAAGTTAAAAATTCTGTGGAATAAATAAATAAAAAAAAAACAACCACAAAAATAAGTGATAGAAGGCTATCTAGAGAAAGATGTATTTTTTTCTGAACTCAACAGCTGCCGATAAAGTATTTTCTAGCACTGTACTCCAGATAAACTATATTCTAGCACTTCTCTGTGCAAGTAAGTAACAAGTCCCAGATGTCCTTTGCAGGCAAAAGAAGAAGGCATTCATGCAGGGCAGCAAAATTTTGAAAGACCTTAAAATAAGAAAGAGTGGACAAAGAGGGACAAATATTCCCTACAGTAAAATTCTGCAAACTACACCCAGTAACATTTCTGCAGTTGCACAGTTTCTTGAGAAGAAAGGTATGCTTGACAATTAGGTTAAGATAGGTGATTCTGGGTGGTTGCTTTTATCTCTCCTTTCATATCCCAAGCAGGAAAACTCTCAGTATATTTTAGGACATTCAGTATATTTTACTAGACATGTCAGGTATGGGATGAAATCCTACCCCAGCTGAAGTGAATGGGACCTGTTGAATGCATACAGCAAGATACCTACATAGCTGGTATTCCTACCTACCTAACAAAGTTAGCTCTGTACCTCATGCATTGAGAGTCTCTCATGCTTTATGACCCAGGAGACAGGGATGCACATCAGCTTGATTTATGGTATTAAACAAGGTAGAGTGATGGGTGGTGCAGAGAAAAGGTGACCAGGTTTATGGCTGTGCTGCAACTGGCAGCCCACATTCAAGGGAAATCATTAGAAGAAAATCATCCCAGTGCTATATCCCTTCTTCTGCTCATGGTCTGTTACCCTTCTAGGGCCTTCTCTGAGGTGTCTCACAGCTTGGGATAGAAAAAAGTCAGGAAATATGCTTCCCATTCCTATTGTTTTCAAACACAGGGGCAAAATATGACAGGCTTTGTTGAGCAATTTGCTTGTGGGAGTTTTGCTCAATTGAGGATTCAGAAGTTGCCTTGTGGTTTGGCTGGCTAGTTTGGAGAGAACCAACCAATATTCAAAAATTATTTAAAAACATGTGTGACCTTGTCTGCACCATCTGGTCCAATGACCCGTGATTTGTTTTTTCTCCCCACATTTATGTGCTTTTTTTTTTCCCCAGTAGAATTGATAGTATAAGAAAAGAAAGAGTACAACCCTCTAATTCAAACTAGAGTATGTGATTTCAAAATAAAAATATCTACTTACTTAAATGGTAAATTGTGATAGATGTTCAGGTATCTACCTAAGTTCAGACATACCACAATTTATATGAAACACAGGCAAAATCAAGCTCCTAAGAAAAGGATGTAAACGAAAACAAAATGGACAAAGCTTTATGAGATTAATTAAATGAATGAAATACCTCCGCTCTTTTAGAGGAGTTGCATTGAAGTAACTGTCCTTCACTGCAGGTAGTACATTGCTCTTGAAAATTAAATGCTATATTCTGAATTGTTCTGCAAGACTGCAGAATTTGCCATACAAAATGCATGTAGAAAATATCCCTAAATGCTTACCCACCTCTTCCTTTTGTCAGACAAATATTCCCCATCTTTGCTGAGCTAAAAGCAAAAAGGGGGGGCGGGGGGGAGGAGGAGAAAATAAAAGAAAAAAATAAAGTATTGTCAGTATGCTATGATGCAATAGAATGTTTTCAGAAAACGTGCCTGACTTCACAGGACCTCACTAATAATGGTCTACACAACTGGTGGCTTTCTATAAATCCCCAAATACTGTTCTTGTCTTTCAAGGACATCTCACTTGCAGATGTGAAGAGCACTGGTAAAAGTGCTCTTGTATTGAACCACCTTCAGAAGACTAATCATATATCTCTTTCATTTAAGTGAAAGACCTTAATTCAAAAGCAAAATACTGACACTTAATTGTTATCTGTCCATATGGGCAATATAAGAACATTTAATCCAATGTATAATTATGCTAAATGGCATATATGCACATCTGCATGCCTTGTGCTGCTTACTCTCTGCTTTTCGTGGTTTGCATTGGTGAGATTTGCAAACTATTTTATTGAAAAATTAATGAAGATATAATGATTTCACTTATGTGATCCAGTCTGTTCCCAAAGTACAACCTACTGCCAGTTTTAGGGCATAGACATTCTCCTGAGCTAGGCTCTGGGGTCATGTAACATCGAGATTTTCTCCTGCATGGATGCTACTTAAGTCAGACAGCTGAGCACCTGAGTATGCATAAGCACATTAACAGACAGTAAAGCCACAGCAGAAAATGTGAAAGGCTGGATAGAAAATATCTTACTACCAACTGTTGAATTTATAACAGTAAATTATGGATATGTGCATACTTTTCATTGCTTTTGAGCTCAGGTGGATAGATGGCAAATCATTCTTGTGCAAGCCAGAAAAAGAAAAGAAAAAAAAAAAGAAAAAAAACCCCACACAACCATCCCTTCCTCACCCAAGCAATTTAGTGTACAACATCCTACTTATACTGTACTCATTAGGCCTCTCTTTTCATAAAAAATGTCCTTTCAGTGACTTAGGCTGGTCTCTCCTCAACAACCAGTATTAATTTTAACTCTTCATCGTGCTTTCTAACTGCTAAATATTCAGACATTTGGATTACTGGCGCATGGTTACTCTACTGTCTGTGTAATCATATCATGTGGTTTTCTGTGGTAGAAGGTTTATTGGTATTTTAGAGGCAGTAATATGTAAGTGGAATTGCATGGGGTCGATCTATTTTTCTTCTTCTTTATACCAATTTTATACTGGGTGATGCCACTGATTACAAGCATACCAGTGTATCAGAAAAGATCAATAGTTGCAAGATATGTCTTTTTGATGGGATGCTTCATTTGAGCATTCACTTGAGGGCTGAGTCGATCATCTGTATTAGTGATAGTTCTACGTGTATGTCCAACTACGGAATTTATGATTTCATATTTTGGAGGACGGATATGTTCTATTAATAATCACGATTGTAATTACATATTAGCCCTTCAGGATATAAACTGAAACACCTGCACTGAATGTGGAAGGGCAGTAAGTTCAGGGTAAGAAGAAAAACAGAGAAGTGGACAGTGCTGGATGACTGAGACATTTAATTATTTTCTTTTTATACTGTGAGCAACTGTAACTGTTTACAATCTTACCTGAAGTTCAATGGTGTTTTTCTAAGGAAATTTCCACATTTGTTAAGAATTGCATCATGTTGGCATTGAAATGTTCCCTCCCCGTATAATTCCTTTCCCTCTCCCCAATTCTCCTCCCCATCACTATCCCTGTCCAGCAACTTCTTTCTCATAATCTCTCCACTTCCCACTGGATCCTAAAAGACATATTGGTAAATCCATTCCCTCAAGAATATGGGAGCCCAGAGCTTTTACGGCATGGGGAAAGCTGGAAACAGACCTAGTGCCTCTGTGCCACCAGTGCTGGAAGCGCATCTCCGCAGATGTTGCAGCCGTAGCATGCCAGCGTATTACAGCATCCACATTATGAACAGACAGCAGGACAGCACAATCTGCTCTCATCTAGACTCCACCAGACTGAAATCTGAGGTCTGGAGTAGAAGGTTGGTATGAGAGCAGCTCATACGGGGTTTAATAGCCTCAGTGTAGGCAAGAACACATATTCTGAAGAACTGAGAGGCAGAAGTATTAGAGAAACAGGCAACAAACTCCAGCCAGCTTCCAGCTGAACCTAATTCCTATTGGCTGACAGAGAGTCATGATTTTGTGCACAATATTTCTGTATTACATCTATACTTAAAAGATTCCTCAAGGCTGTTGCTTTCATATACGGAGAACAGATATTACGGTAAAGGACAGGGCTTCTTGTACCTTTGCAGCGGCAAGGAGTTGCTGTTCCTAACCCTGAGATGCCAGTGCACTTGGAGCCATCTCTCCCTCTCAGATAATCCCCTTCTTTCTAAGATGAAACTTCCTTCACTCATTTCAACAAATGTTGTGGAAGAAACAATTGCACAATAGCATTTGTCTCAATGCTGTTTCCCCTGTGGTTTTAAGTCTAAGGATCTTTGGTCATCTGTAGACTCTAACATGTTACTGACACCTTAGGAAAAAAAATAAATCTACTATTCATGTCAAAAGACAATATATAGGGAACCAAAACAGGCTGGAAAAGTTCTAAGATTTCGCAAGTCAAGGAAAAACAGTGTACCACAACTAGTCCACTGCAGTGAAATGGTTAACTGTACCTCCGTGACACCCTTCTCTCCTAGGAAACTCCCAAAAAAGGGGATAAAACCCAGTCTTCTACACTTGTGTAGCCTCACTGGTAAAAACACATGTGTTTTGCATATGTGTGTCACACACAACCTAGGCATTCGGTATGCGTGGCCCTGATCTGGTGAAGTCTGACACAGAGATACCCTTTTTCATGCAAGTATTGTCATTGACTTCAAAGGGACTATTTCCAGGAGTAAACTTAGTCATGTGTGTGACGACAGGATCAGGGAGCTAATATGAGCATGTGTCCCCGTTTACTCTACAAAATAGACACACACTGCTCCTTTTGCTGTCATCTCCTGTGGTGGAGACCTCATTCTGCAACAGACTGAAGTGTGATATACTGGCAGGTGGTCTTTATTAGAAAGGTCATTGACATTGTCAAGCATCTTTTGAAAGGTGACATTGCACCTAGAAGGTTATCAGGCCAGAGCCATGAAGTCTACAACAATTTCTCTGACAATATTGTAAACAGGTAATATGTCTGACCCCTTTTTAGACTTAACAAAACACAAGAGATTAAAGTTCTTCTGTGCCTCTTTCACCCCTCTGTCATCCATGTATAGACTTCCCCTAAGCTTTGTCCTGAAGTACCCTGCAGAAGTAGTGAAGTTGTGAAAGAGCTACTTTAATTATAAGTACCACAGTAATGAATTCAAGTACACTCATTTATCATAAAGGGCTTCCCCATCTGTCTCTAAAGTATGCTCAAAAATGCTGTGTATTTGATAACATGAAGGTTGAGAATTTAACACATTTTAGTTTTAAACACTCCATTTTGGTTAGCTTTTTGTAAGATTGTACAACTGGTGTGGGGGGGGGTGCATGTGCGCGTGCGTGTGTGTGGTCTCTTCCTAATTTATTTGCACTTCAACCCATTGGGATCAAGCTGCAATCCCTGTAGGCAAAAGAAGATTAGGGAAAGCGACTGACTGTTTTTTCCCAGACACAGAAGGGAAAGCGACTTCTCAAGTACCGCAAGTTTTTCTGGCCACTGTACAAATTGTTCCTGAGTATGGAGAGTTTCCAAAAGACCTAATTAGCAACTCGCTGCAAACATTTCTTTGCATTAGCTAATGATCCGGCTACACTTGTAAGCAAACAGTACCAACATATCCAATCAATGCAGAAAAACCAACAGAATGCCTATTAAACATCTGGATGTAATTTTCTAGTTAGACTTAGAACAAAATGAAAACATATGCAGGTTTCTTTGATCTATGCCTCAACAAAGAAATTGTCGATAAAAAAACACACTGGCCAGTCAATGTGTCATTTTCATAAAGCCTGGTCATTTCTCTTCAAATGTTCCCAGTTTAATTTTGTTGGTTTCCTGCAATCTCTAATTTTACCATATTGTGTGAAACCACAAGGGATTCTTTGGATCTGATTTTATTTGAGGTTTTACTGCTGCACGATCTGCTACTGACTTTTTTTTTTAATTCAACTCGGGGAATTTTTAAGGGTGAAAGAATGGGGGAAGGGAATACAGACATGATGGTAAAATGACCTAGTGCAACTTTTTGAACATTCTTGCCTACAAGGAAAGCTACTAATTAAAAACAAATCAAATTACAAAGAGGGTATGCAATGGCTATTAGCCAAAAGATAGCGAATAATTAGAAATGTAATTGCTTTACCCTGCTCACATCATTTGCACTTCATAAATAAAGAAATATTTTAAAAGTAATGTTGTTTTGCACGCCCTCATAATAATTATTATTCTTGCAGCTGTATAGGTAGTCACTGCTATACCACAAGCACAGTATGACTCAGATACTATTCTTTTCTCTATTCCACCTGTGCTGTCCTGCCATTAAAAAAAAAAATAGAATAACCCCCTCCCCCATGTACATAATTTTTAAATGTACTCTCTGTTTCTCTTTCAGTTGAAAATCCAATGATCTCTCAATATAAAACTTTGAAAGCATAAAATCTATTGAATTCTATAATTACTTCCTCCACTGATTTGCTCTCACTACATAGGTAGTAGAACAGTGGGATAAATCACAAATTTGCTAAATTGTTTCCCGCCCACCTGCAGCAAACTCCTAGTGATTAACATCATCAACATTTTTACTATATGTGCCAGTTTGTGGGAAGTTAAAAAATATTGCTTGTAAATAGTACTGTTAACAGTAAAGGAAAAAAATATAAACAGTGTGGTAAACAGAACATCATACAATACGTCATTTCCCTAAAGAACAGATGCTACATCTGAAACCCTTTCAGTATATTCAAACTACATTTTGGACCCAATACTGCTTTTTTCGACAAAAAGCTCCAACTGCTTCCAGTGTGAGTTTTCAGTACACAGTCAATGCAGGACTAGGCCCTTTTCTATACAAGGTGGGAACACTACATTAAAATGCTTACAGTGAAAGCCAATTGATTTCAAACAGCAGAGTCAAATGGACGATTTAACAGAATGGTTTGGGAGGGGGGTTAATACTGAAGGTAATCTTTTTATTCTATTTTTAAAACACATGACAAAGGTTTAAACACAATTATTTTTAATCCAGTTTGATAATTGTGTAGAGTATGTACACTATTGTGGCATAACGATCTGGTATAAAATACCACCTTGAGTGGAATACAGCTCTTTGCAACATGCTTAGCCATATTTTGACCTGTCTTTTAGTGGTGTAAATAGTGACTATTGCCATGGAATGAGGATGTTCAGTTTTCTGGGATTAATCCAGATTTTTACCCATCTAACAAAAAGGAAATTTTTATGCTCTAATCAGCCAATGATGATGCATTATAAATTAATTAAATATCAGATCATGTTTGTTATTGTTCACACTATGTAATGTCAGTGGCTTTCATTTAAAAAAAAAAAATCATCACATTTGATTCTGCTACTGCTTTTACAGCTTTTCTACCTCGATTATAATGGAGAAGATTCAAAATGCCCTTAAGTGTCTGATTCCAGAATCTAAGTAGGTTAAAAGCACTTGTTAAAAAAAATCAAGAAAATAGAGCTTTTCAGTTTCTGTTAAAACATGCCTTGGACATTTTAATGATGACAAATAAATGTTACAAGACATTTCAACTTTCATGTAGGCAAGCAATTAAAAAAAAAAAGCTTTTGTTTATGTTCCAAAACATAGTGTTGTTTTAATGTCGTATCTGTTAATATCTCATTAACAACTTGTGCTAGCAGGTTAAGCAAAGTACAACCAAAGTTAGGTAAGTGTTACGTTATTACAGACTCCATAGCTACTAGGTACACACACAAAGTATATAATAATAGCTTGCATTTTTATGGCATCTTTCATCTGAAGATCTAAGTACTTTACAGGCATTAATTAATTAAGCTTTCTAATGCCATAAACAGAGCAGTGAGTTGGCTTGTCCAAGACTACAAGGGAAGAGCTGGGAACAGAATGCAAGATTTTTAGCTTTACTTATGCACGCGGAACACCAGAGAAGTTTACATTCCCGTCCTGGGAACCACAATCTATCAAAGGTCACTATCAACGGTATTTTGCCTCATGTCTTAAAAAACATTAAAAGTCCTCCCATTTATTTATGTATTCACAAAGGCGTATGCACATATATATTGTATTTATCAATAAGAACACACACATACATATGTATAGGTGCAGACACCTACAGGTACAGACACTATTACATGTACGCATATACACGCACACAGACACATGCACAGAGACATACATGCATCTGTTTTCAGTGTCAAAACTCTGTAGTCCCTGAATGAAGTCCAAACTTCACTGCAGAAGACTGAGGGAGTATAATTTTCTTTTCCTTTGGTAGTTTTATGTAAAACTGGGAATAATATCGCATGGAAATGAGCACTCTGAATGAGTAAAGCTGTATCTTGATATTGCAACACATCAAATTTCATATCAAATTTTAAACATAGACTCCTCTTTAGGATACAAGACGAAGCGTAACACAATTCTAAATAAGTGTATCTAGTAAACATTAATGGGGAATTGTGAGAAAATGCAAATTATAAAATTACGCTTACTGTGGTTGAATGATGCGATACAACGTTTTAAGGCCTCTTTTTAGGTAGTATACAGGTGTACTGACAGCATAAATATGTCTTAAGGCATTGTTTTAAGTCTGAAGGTATCAGTATTTCACACTTTATCGTGTAATTGTGCTGTGGATTAGGTGGTTGTTAATAGAGGATATGTTTTGAAGTTTACTTCGCACTGCAAGCTGTGTCACCATTTGTCATCTCAGCAGTCACGCACAGGGTGTGGAATTTGTTTGACCTTCATCTACCTCAAGCAGGCCTATAAACCATTTACAACAGCAAAGCTCCTGAAGGCTTTCCTCGAGCAGACCCGTCTTATAAAAAAGTCCATTTTCCCCAAAGGACAACGTCCGTCTGATCAGAGGGTCACTCCAATCAACGTTTCAGCCGGTGTATGTGAGTGACGCGAAGGAGCGTGAGCTTTCGCCCTTCTTTACGGTGTTTTCTGTACAGCTGAGAGCACTGCAGCAGGTGCTACAGCACGCACCGGTACCATCATACAAACCAGGCGGGGGATCGGTGCAGTACCCGCCCGCCCGAGGCACAAGGCGGGTTCTGGGGACAGGGAAGCTTGGCCTCTGCCCTGCGCGCCCTGGGCCAGGTTCCGCCTGGCCACCGGCCCGGCTGCGGGGCCGGCTCCTTCACACGGCCGGGTTCTGCATCCCTATGGTTAACTGCAAGAGATGGCGGACGCCCA